AACCAATTCACAAGTTGACATGGCTTGTTTGAACTGAACTGTGCTGGAGCAACATCACTGCTCCACCACAAGCACAAGTTGGATCACACCTAAGCTACCATAGGACAGGTGTGCATGGTGCACTACATGAAAATTTCACTGCAAGTTCTGTTAGGCACAAAGAACCACCACTATCGTAGTTCAGGTGAAATAGATTCATTCCCAGTGTGATGATCTGTTAGCATTCCCATCTTCCATAGTTCCACTGAAGAGGTTTTTCCACTGATCTGGAGTGCCTGTTACTCCAGTTTAGAACCCGCACCTACAACATATTATCTAAATCTACTCTTGGGCAATAGATCCAAATTGCTCTCTAAACATTGGGGAAAGTCAGATTTACCTTTGAGATTAAGAAAAAGCTCAGCAAGAAATACATTAATGAGCACAAGAAGGGATCAGTATTTAGGACATCAGTGTGCATTCTATGTCAGCCTGACCAAGTAGCTTCAGGAACATTTTGCATGAAAGATTAGGTATATATTTTAAAATGTCATTAAAACAGACACATCATAATCTATCTGTGTGGTATTGGTGGGGAGAAATACGTATAGTTGATTTTCACCTACATCAAACCTCATTATTTTAAAAGGTACTACTTTTAAAATTGTATAACCTTAGGCTGTATTAATATTTCACAGTTTAGCCAATTATTTTACCAGATGAAGAAACAAGTTGCAGTTCCAATCAGTTTGCTACTGATTTTTTTGTCCATTTTTCTCACAGATATCTTATTAAATAGCATTAAGGACAATTTGCTATTAAGGGTAGCTATTTCCTATCACCCCTGCACTGGGCTAGCTAAAATTATATATTTTCTTAATATAATCCTCTTAAAAGTAAGAGGGGATCTTCTTTGAGGCAAGTAAGGCAAAATTGAGGTTACTGTTCAAGAGACCTTGAATTACGCACTTTGAGAAAGAGGGCAAGGGCAAAGTTGCAATTTAAAGAGACTGAAATGAGGATTTAGCAAATCTAAGTATTTTCTTCAGTATCTGATACAAAATATTGTAAGCTGCCTTAGGGACTGACACTTCATATCAGATGTTCTCTAGTGCTGAGTAACTCCCGCCAGGAGTTTTCTTTTTGCATAGCTTACAAAGCAAGGGAAAAGATTCATAGTGCAAGGTCACACATCTACCATACAAGAAGAGCTGCTGTAAGAATGTCTTGTATAAAAATAGCCAATGACTGCAAGCCCATGATGTACAGCAACTTAACTTTCAAGAAATCCAAACACTGTAGCAACTTTAAGTATTTCCAGTAATACTGAAGAGCCACGGCTCAGTGGTGGTGGATCTGCTTTGAATGCCTAAGTTCCCAGGATCAACCATTGGCACCTCCAGCTAGAACGGGGTGGTGGTCCTTGAACCTGTGACTCTATAGAGTGGCTGCCAGCCAGTTTGTAGACATTACTGAGCTAGATGTATCAGGTGGGCTGACTACATATGAGACAGCTTCCTATGTTCTCAATACTAGACTATAACCTAATACAGACAATCAGTGGTCTGGTTCCTATGACATGGTAAACCAGGAGACATTCCCTGGATTAAACAGACATTCATTCATCAACCAGGCAATAAGCTTCAAGCTTTGTTCTTATTTCCATTATTATTTTAAGGATATTATATCCAAAACACCCACTAACCTATATTGTAGGAGTATAGGGGCTTCTTGAAGTATCATGCGATCAAGTAGGCCTGCGTTAAGCTAAATATCTACAAACAATATGACTTATCACATTAAAGTAGGGCAAAAAGTCTTGGTAACGCCAGTTTATTAGCCTCATCTAATGGCGACAACTAGCAACATCTATCACAGCAACTGGTGTGATAGCAAAACATTTCTCTACTGTGAACAATTTACTCTAATGTCAGTGAAGTGCCCTGCATACAGATTTATTGCAAGGCATAAGGAAGAAGGAAGATGCCTGTAGACATATTCTAGTTTATTGATATATAGACTGCAACTTCATTGAAGGAGAGAGGTGTATTTCTGTCCGTATTACTCAGAGAAGTGCCAAGTACATTGGTGGTGACAAATAAAATATTTGTAATAAATGTATCTGATTATACAGACCGAAATGTGAATATATCTCAAAGTTATACTGGCTCCCTTTTGGTTGCAGCTGTTATGGACAGTTTGAGATATTTGTGATCTGCCCTTCACCCAAAGGGTTCTAGGGCACCAGACAACAAAGATTCAAAGCATGATTCACAATAACTTAAATTAATATAACCCATGTCATAAAATTCAGAATACCAAAATTTACTTGTAGACACAGAGTTGTTTTTTGGAAAGGTATTATTGCTCTTTCCAAGGCCACAGAATGTGCAAGCAGACATGCTTGTGATGTCTCCAAGCAAAAGGATTCAGGTATAGAGTATGTATTTTCATACATCCAGAGTCCTTACACTTTACAGATAAAGAGGGTAAGTCAAACTACAATTGGGAACAATAGCCAATTCATGCTACTGTTTGCTTCCTGCATCATCCTGACAGAATCACACAAAGCGCAAAACTTTAGCAGGCTAGGTGCTAAGAGGATATTCTCAGAATGGCAGTGGGGCAGAGCACCTTTGTAGCAACTGGTACCATCCTAGAACCACAGCAGAAAGAGATGTGTTTGTTCATACACAGAACAAACCAAAGAGTCTGATAGTTCTCTTCAGTAGCCAGTACAGGTAGTGAGCACGTGAGTTGCTCAGTTACTTATGTCTTCTTTGACACTGAAGCCTCTGTGTTTTTCAGCAGGAAATAACAAGAGGTGGACTGACTTGCAGCTCTCTCTTGCTAGGTAAACCAAACAGTAAATCAGCTGTACAAAGACCTCAAAGTAGGCAAAATCCTCCTTCAAGCTACCAAGCAACTCACTTTACATGTGTGACCCCAAACATATCATATTGGGAGGGGGAAAATCAATTAAACATATCAAGCATTCTTTGCAATCATAGTACCTTTCATCTAGATGTTCTACAGCAGCTCTTTATAAAGAAACCAAAACTTGAAATTCTCACACATATTTACACAAATGAAAACAAAATCACAATGGGAAAGTAACTGGTGGAAACTGCAGCGATTCTCCATATTTAAATACGTCATCAAGAATGAAAGCATAATACCCTGTTGACATCTTTTTATGTCTCTATAATGGTCATTAAAAAGTCTTCTTATATCAAGCACTAAACATCATGTAAAATTGTAGAAGTCTAACAATGCACTTTGCAGCCCCCCAGTGGTAAAGTAGAATTCGTAACTTTGACAGAATTCATATGTACCAGTTTTTATAGAATAGCACTCCTCAAACACCTACAGAAAAAACTCTCACATTTGCCAGAAGGAAATCATATGGGGGTTATTTTAAAGGAGATAAATAGAGGGACAACTGCCAGCTGCTCTATTTCTGTCCATTGCTTGTAATCTATATTGCAATCAAACTGCATGCAAAACACAAAGATTATAGTAATTGGGCTGATGACCTCAGTGCCTTGTGCTCAAATAATCTATATTTCTGCTGGTTCTCAGAGTATAGTCCTCCAAGTTCCAGTGAATTAATGTTAATGTTTTGTCCTAAGAATACACAAACAGCAATGAACAAACTTTCAAATCATAACTATGGTATTTACTGTCTTTAAGAAACCGTGACATTTTCAAAGCAGTGCTTAGTAAAGTTCTCACCACTTCTGCTTAACACTGAACAGTTGGCATCCTAGAGAAAGATTCACAGCAGAAACGCAAAACAGAGAAAGGGAAATCATTTACTTTTTGAGAGCCAAGGTGAACCACAGATGTCACCAGCAAAACTAGTTGGGTTAAAAACAGAAATTACTAATGCATACTATCAAAATAAATCTATGAATAACATGTTTCATCATAGAGGGAATACCAAAAGCCACCTGGGGTTATCTAAGCAGTTTAATGCTACAGAGACTATTATTATTTTCCCTGGCAAGTTTTCCTTTCTCTCTGACAACATTGCTTTCCATTGGAGCAACACCATAGTAAGGGTGAAAAGTCTTAAATGTGTTTCATACTGAACCAAGGAGGAGTATTGCAAAGTGGAATGAATGGAAACTCCAGGGCCAAGTGGGCTCCCCCAGCTAAAATGAAAAACGAGTATTTTCTGTGTTAGGCAGGCTACGTCAATGTTTTGGTGTATTCAACTTTGCTGATGTAAGAACCGAAATACCAAGTTTCAGTGTGTACTACTGTACACACAACCGATTTTCCCCACCGATTCGAATACCCCCTTCAAATAAGCCCTTTGGCCAGAGGTCCACGCAAAACAGACTCCTTTCTAGACTGGAGCTCCATCAGGCGAATAAGCATTCCGCCCCAGTGTCGCCTCCTCATTTGCAGCCACTGGCTGCCTTTCGCTCAGCCAAGCAATCCGTTTCAGCCCCGCCAGGGTCAGAGCGCCCGTCTGCGAAGAGCGATGCGTTCGAGGCACTTCACCTTCCCAGAGACTTCGCTCCTGGCCCAATCGCGGCAGCGCCAGCACGCCTGCCCAATTGCCCCCCAACTCCAGCGGCTTCCCCTCGCCCTTCGCCTCACGACGCCTCAAACTTTCCCCGGCTCTTCTTTCCCTCAGGGATGCGTAACGGTGAGGGAGTCCCTCTTCCTCGCCGCCTCCCACCCCACCCCCTCTTCGCTCTGCGAGGCCAGCGAGCTTCCCCGTCTCCACCTGCCGTTTCCAGGTGCAGCAAACGAAGCTTCCCCGCTTCCCTCCCCCGCGCCAAGACCAACGGCAGCCCAAGCGAAGGAAACTCCTCCGGCGCGCCACCACAGCCTCGCCAAGCGCAACAAGCCCGCCAGACACAACAAACGCTGCCGCCGGCGCCCTCGGAATCGCCCCGGGAAGGAAGCGCGGGCGACGAGGCGGCGCCCCTCACACCTGCGCGCAGCCTGGCTTTGCCGGGAAGGAGGCGGCGAGGCGAGGCGGGAGGCAGGGAAACTTCACTTACCTTTGGCGGCGAGGAGACTGGCGACCCCGCACAGGAGCAGCGCCCACTCCCGGCACTGCCTCATCCTCTCGGCAAGCCGGTCGAGCAGGACGCGCTTTCTTCTCCTCTTCCTCGGCTTTTATCACAGCCGTCTCCCTTCGTCGAGGCGGAGGAGGCTCCGGGCTGCGCCGCGCGCTCCCTCAGACCGCTCGCGTCGCCGGGCTGTGGCAGCGGAGGGAAAGGGAAGCGAGGAGAAGCTGGAGCAGCCGCGCGCGCGCCGCGGCGTCTGCTAGAGGAGGATGACGGCTACTGCTCAGTCATTCGCAGGCTTTACTGCCAGGACCAAAGCAGCTCTCCGGCTTTCAGCGCGGGACTGCTGCAACGTCACGGGGAGGAGATGCGTGAATATTCATGAGGAGGAGGGGGCGGGGCGCGGGGGGGGGGAGAGAAGAGACGCGGCTGGAAGGAGGTTCGGCGCGCGGAAACTACGGCGAAGGAAAGCACGCTGGCAGAAGGCTGCCACTTTCATTCCGCAGGAATAGCCTCTGAGTTGGGGGCTTTAACCTCTTCTGCCTTCTCTGGATGTTGCAGCCAGAAGGATCGGGTGCTGGCTGCCCCGGGCGAAGGTGTGGGCAGCCACCTCTTCCTGCTGCGCACCTGCTGTCTCGGGTTGGTGCAGCGCGGAAGGGTGGCTACAGAGCAGCCACTTCATCTTCTCACTTGCTCACCTGAGTTCGCGCTCTCTCTCTTGGAGGAGAAGGCTGCAGCTCAGCTAGTCAAATCCCAGTGGCTGCTCCTTGCACAATCTCGCACCCTTCTCGGCATTAATGGTTGCCACTGCCTTTGATTCCCGACCTCCTCTCTCCTCCCTCTGAAATTAGGCTCTAGCTGCTCATATGTCCCCTTTCTTACGGAAGAGCAATAGAAGGGATGGGGCCCAGTTAGGCAGAGGAAATAGGGGGCAGGGACTGCCAGCCCACTCACCCGCTCTCTCTGAACAGCATGTTGGCGAGGGATTGGGTTTTCACTGGGCTCACTCTCCACTGCTGTGCCACCCAGCAGGAGAGCACAGGTGGGCAGATGAAGTTGAGGTGACTGCTTCTTCCATGACCAGCCCCTAAGCAACCTCTTTACTGAGTGTCCATCCAGATTTGTTTGCACAAAGCTTACACAAGATGCTAGATCATGGTTGCAGGAATGCTGTAGGACAATAAACATTTATCCTTACTTGCACTGTGTTTGCATTTCCTATTACCCATTTGTTCACCCCACACTTATCATTGCATTCCCGTGTCACTTTCCTGGCTGCAAAAAGTCTTTTTTAAAAAGTGGGTTTGTTGCAATAGGGTGACAGAGCAGTTTAATCACTTAAATTGTGCAAACCTAAATTACCAGTATACAGTACACTTGAATCCCTCCTGCAAAATACTGACAGACTGGAGGTGACTCTGTGTTGTGTAATGCCCAGAGAGGGAAGGTGGACAAGTGGACAGAGGCAGCTGCTTGTGCTGACTCTTAAGGTTTTCTGCTGTTACCTAGAAAGCATGAGGGAGAGGAGATAGCTACCCTGTTGTTTTTTGTGGGTGGTTGGTTGTTGTTGTTTTTGGTTGTTGTTGTTTTTTCCACATTCCATTCCCACCCACCCCCAAGAGCAGGAGGTGTTGCCAATGGTTCTAGGGTGCCCCCTAGCTTGTGACATCCCTCTTTATCCACTCTCTGCTGCAGGGCAGAAGAAGGGATGGCTGCTATTTACTATTTGACCACCTTCACTAACCAGTAACAGTGCTAAGTGGCTGCTTGACTTTCAAAATAGAAGTGGCATTATTAATTACACTTTTAAAAAACCAAAATATGCGTAATTTAATGTAGGTGCTTAACTTAATTAGGAGTCACCAATGTGATACCTATGGGTGCGGTGATGCCCCTGAAATCTTCCCCTGGTGCCCATGAAACCTCTAAGCTTTCCATTCACTGAACCCTTGGTCATGAGGTGTTCCTTGTTCTCTTTTGAAAAGTACATAGAGTTGAAGGAGGGATTTAGAAGAAATGGGGTTTGGAACTTAACAGGTTAAGTTATTCCCATGATGCCTCAACATTCTGATGTCAGCTTTCGAAGCTGGGAGGAGTTTGGGAGGAGTTTGCTGTTCCTCTCTGTGCTGTGAGAGGGAAAGGAAGCAGTTTGTCATGGCTGCAAGTAGTCCTGGATTTTCCGGAGAAATGTTGGAATAAACAACTGTAAATAGACAAACCTGTACTGTGTGTGTTTGTCAAAGGACGTGATAGCTTTCCCGCTGTGTTAACTCTGCTGGGCGTGACTGGACGACGGAGCTAAGTGGCGCAGCTGAGGGAAGCGCGCCGGACGGCAGTAAAGAGCTAAAGCTAATTGTGGATCGTAAATCAATTAGCGGAGGTCACGCAAAACAATCAATCAACTTGACAGGTTATGGAGCTTAATCACCGATCGTAAAGCTATCACGGGAGCTTTGAAGTCTGCGGTTTAGAGCAGAGAAGCACGGCAGGAGGCAGAGGCCGGAATCTGAGGCAAGCGGCTAGCTGAAAGACGCAAAGGTTTGCCTGTGCTGAGGGCTGCGGAGCTGAGAGCAGCAAGGAATCGTTTCTCCACGGAATCGTTTCTCCACGGATGGGTGCCGGAGGAGCTTGTAATCTGTGAGTACAGCTTGGGGCCCCTTGGGAGAACGGAAGACAATGGCAGACAGCCAGGTCTTGGAGGACATTCCGTTTGGAAGGCTCATTCTAAGAAGTTGGGCAAGGGCGTAAAGTCAGCAAGGGCTGTCTGGGAATGTGCTGCGTTTGCTGTGAAGCTTCTGCAGGAGGCCAGAGCCCTGGAGAAGTATTGAGAAAAGCCTAAAGATGGCTGTAGCCCCTGTTCCTGATGTTTTAGCCTCAAGGAGTGCTAGTGAGCAGGTCGGGGGGGCGAAGAAGTTTTCTAAAGGCCACTTCAAAGAGTTTTCCACTGTACGTGCTGGAATGGAATGGCGGTCCAGAGAGGGCAAGTCTGGCGCAGGCAGCTCCACCGGAAGCAAGGGGGGGCCAGGCCAGATGAGAGCTCTGTTCAGTGTTATTCCACTGAAGATCGTCGTTGCTACGTGTGCAATGCAACGGGACACTTGCGTCGAGACAGCCCACAGAGAGCGAGGGCAGCTGCACAGGAAGGCTTCAAGGACACTTCCCATGGGAATCAGCCGGGTTTCCATGGCAACCAGTCTGGAAGAGGAGGCCAGCGTGGGAACGCAAGAGAAGGACGTGGAAAACAACGTGAGGAGGCTTATCAACTAACAGCTAGTCTGGCTTTGTTTGGGGACAGCTGTGGGACAGGCTCAGAGCTTTGTTTTGTAATAGACTATGCAGGGAACTGCAATTTGATTCCAGAGACCCCTGCTGTTGAGATGTGGAATTGCACGGCAATTCCGGCTGGGAAAACTGTACTATTTGCAAATGGACAGAAAAAGAATGTAACTAATTCTGTGAATGTGCATGTGTTTGCTTTACAGGAGACGTTGGAGTGTTGTACCGTTCCTGGGATGCACCACTGTCTTTTATCTGTGCCTTATTTGTTGAAAAAGGGGTTTAAGGTTTGTTTCGAAGATGCTGTCTGCACAATCTCCAAAGGAGGGAGGATATTTGCCAAGGTTAAAAGGGGGCAGAATGATCTCTTTGTTCTTAAATCACCTCTGGAGGGTGAGGGGAAGGTTGGGAAAGCACAGGCTCTACGTGCTGAAATCAACAATCATGTGACATGTGCACATGCGTGGCATGCAAGAACAGCTCATGGTTCTCTAGAAGAACTACAGGTGCTGCCTGAGGTTTCCAAAGGTTGTGAAATTACAGAATGTGGATGTGCTGTAAAATGTGAAACTTGCAAACTGGCGAAGGTAAGAGGATGCAGTTACCCAAAGGTAGAGAGGGTAACCACAGAACCTTTTGAACTGGTCCACATAGATTTGTGGGGTCCTGTAAAGGAGGCGAGTCTGGGAGGTGCAAGGTTTCTTCTGACGGTGCAGGATAATTTTACGCAGAACTCCTGGAACCATGGTCTCAAATCCAAGGATGATGCAGCACAGCTGATCAAAGGATGGATTGAGGAGGTGGAACAAAGGTTTTCCACCAGAGTGCAAGCAGTCACCAGTGACAGAGGAGCTCAGTTTACAGGGTCTGCTTTGCAGAAATTCTTTCACAAGAAAGGGATACGTCACACAGTGACTTCACCCAATCAGAGGGGGGTGGCAGAGCTGAGAAGTGAGGCTCTGGTTAAGGCTGCACAGGTGATGCTGGCAGATGCTGGGTTACCTCCAAGGTTTTGGCTGGAGGCAATCAAGTATGTGGGCTTCACCTGGAATCGCACCTACAATTCACTAGTAGGTGACACACCCTTTGGGTTGTTGCATGGCAGAAAACCCCAGATTCATTTTCTGCGTATGTTTGGTTCAAGTGCATCTGTGCCGGTACCTACTGCTTTGCAGGGGCCAGATGGATCCAAGTTCCGGAAAATGATCATCTGCGGGTATGAGCCAGAAGCACGTGCATGGAGGTTTGCATATCCATCAGGTGATCAGAGTAAGGTGCTGATCAGTAAACACGCTGAGTTCTATGAGCAGGATAAAAGGTCAAAAACCGCTGTCATGCGTGATGTGCTCTCAGAATGTCTGTCTGATTCTGAGGAGGAAAGGGAGGCAGAGGCTGATCCCGGTGATGAGGACCAGGTCCACGATCAGGGTTCAGAATCCGATGATGACGATCAGGTCACTGACCAAAGTCAGGAACAGGAGGAGGTATCTGTAGCTTCTCCACAAGATGTTAAGAGAACACCCAAAAGCGAGCCCAGTTCTCCTGTAAGTGTAATGGAGAGGATTCGAAAACGCTTCAAGTCAGAGGGGGAATCCCGTGATGCTGAGGACACATTTTCTGGTGGCGGTGAGTCAGAGGTAACATCTGAGTTTGTGCCTAGAAGGTCCAGTCGCACAACAAAGGGTATTCCACCTGAAAGGTATCAGGCCACAAGTGCGTGGGTATGTTTCGCACAGTGTGATTCTGGGAGTGTTGAAGGGGTTCAACAGGTGCCGGGGAAAGATGCTGGAAAGAGGCGCAAGGCAAAGGGAAAGGTGTTGAACTCAAAAAGGTCTTGTCAGAATGTTCGGCAAGGGGGGGTATGGGGTTTGGAACTTAACAGGTTAAGTTATTCCCATGATGCCTCAACATTCTGATGTCAGCTTTCGAAGCTGGGAGGAGTTTGGGAGGAGTTTGCTGTTCCTCTCTGTGCTGTGAGAGGGAAAGGAAGCAGTTTGTCATGGCTGCAAGTAGTCCTGGATTTTCCGGAGAAATGTTGGAATAAACAACTGTAA